TAGCTGTGAAACGTTGTGGTAGATTTATAATAACAGGAAAATCGGTTTTATACTTCAAAAGCAGCGGAAAGGTAAAAATTAAGTGACCAATTGGCGGGCGGCTTTGAATTTTATTTTAATCGATTTGGCTGAAAATCAAAGTTTCTGTAATTATCGTGGCTTGAAATAGTTAATCGCCCGCTGGCGACCAGCTGTGAAATTCTAGTCGCTAGTGCAAAATTTTTAGTCGCATTGGCGACCAGGAAAGCGCAATTTCGGACCCTGAACAGTACTCTCGAAAACCGCGGGCTAAGGTTTCAATACTAAGGCCACTTCGAGATACCTTTGGCCTTTATTTCAAAACGAGCCCTGGAGCAAACTCTTTCACATGAAAGAAAAAATGTATTTTGAATAAAAATGGACGAGTAAAATTCATTTTCGTACAAAATGTTTGAACCAGGTTGATTATGTGAGACAACAGAAACTAAAGGCTCATTCCCGGCAGCTCTATCCTTGTTCCCTTTTGGCATGGACATTTGTAGGGTCTAAACCACCCACAAAATCACAGCAAGGTCAGCACTCAGAAGAACGTCTCTTAACGAATGAATTAGGGCCATGTGCAAACGAGAATACGTTCTTGTATGGACAATAAAACAAATTATAACAGTGACGCCTTCAAAACTAAACGTTGGGGATGACTGAAACAGTTTTCAACAAGAGCAAGCACATCTGTCAAATTAAAACAGCAAATATGTCAAATTAAAGAAACATAAGTTGCTAATGGCTTGGACTGCGGCTGGTAATTCTGTTAAAATGTACGTTATGGTGCCTAACTTACCCTATCTCCACTGTACTGCTTCATATCATGAAGAAGTCGTGAGGTGTTCGCCAGCCAGAAAGCCAAAATGTCTAGGTTATTGGGGTTTTTCTGTTGAACAAAAGTAATATCATTCTTTAACATGAGCAAAGTTTCAAAATGTTGGTGCGGACTAAAACATCTTTAACAGCTAATGTTTCAAAAGGTATTTGAAATAAGGAACACATTGAATGTCTCCCACCCAACAAGATCAGCTAACACTTAAGCTAAGTGCTTATGAGCGTTCTTATGGAATTAGCAACGAACAAGGTCATTCCTTCATTCATTCGTTCGTTCGTTTATTTAAACAGAAATTAGAGACCACTTAAAGTCGCGCGGAGAAAGGGCTTGGGCGCTTTGTTTTCCATAACAGACCACGTGATATTCTATAGAGAATGGTTCTTTTATCCATCTAAAAACTATTCGTTCATATAAACGGGAATATTCGAAAATTTGAAAGCAAGAATTTTCAAGAGTACCATCACATGTTCTGAAATGGGGCGACAAACAGCTCAAGCTAAAAAGGTCCATTAAGAACTTCTGTCATGCAAACTCATGCACTTAATCATGTTCATCTCAAAATAAAAATTGAATGGTCTGACATGAATCCCTCGCTGGTTTACATGCCGTCTTCAGTGCTCATAACAAGCCTGCTCACCTTAACCACTTTCCTGATGCTGTTAATACTATTGGTCAACAAGCTCTGCATGCGCCGGTCATCATTCACGTGATCAGCATGCCTGATGCACATGAACAGGATGTGCGCGGGGAGTCCTGGGATAGCGTCCGCCATGGACTTGGGATTCATATCAGTGATGAGATACTGGATGACCTTGTCTTCATCTTCGCCTGAGAATTCGATCATGCCGCGGATCTTGTGCTGTCTTAACTGAGGCGGAACAGGGAGAAGATCCTACAGGAGTGAACAAAGCAAGTCTGGATTTAATTCGGGGCCTCTTTCTTATTGAATTCCATCGAAGTTCACTCATATAATCTATAGCAAATTTTCATCAGCTCCTTTTCATAGCTTTAACGGTGTAAATAGAATTCGTAATTGCAGAACATTTGCACCACAATTGCTTTAGTCCCACCTTGATGTTGTAGCAGTACAAGATGGCAAGTTTTTCTTTGAAATTTAATTGCACCAGGCTTTGTCAGTGTAATATTCGGAACCTTTTTATTCTAGTTAAGAACAATAAAGTAAAACGCATTACCCCTTCCTTGAGCGCGTGAGAAGACTTTCTAAGCAGCCCGGCGTGCCTCATAACCTAGGAGAAACAAATGAACGAAGTGTATTTAAACACACAAAACTAAAACCAAACTAATTACAGAAACAAAACAAAAGCTGGTTTTACAGGATGAAGTTGCAGCTTATAGACCAGGAAGAGCTGAATTCGCGATTACTTCCGACTATCAAATTAGTTCGACAGAAAAAACTCTCTCCCCGTAGTTCTATGTATTAAAGTACCTTGTGCAAACTTTGCACAAGGTACTTTAATACGTTGAACTGCGAGGAGAGAGTTTTTTCTGTCGAACTAGTTTGATAATCGGAGGTAATTCGTGAATTCAGTGACAGAGTAAAACCAAAAGCTAGACCAAAGTGACGGAAAGGGGAGCGATAACAAACTATTTGGTCTCAGAGTTTCAAGCAAACAAGATATCTGAATAAACTTAATTGTTAAATTGTTGGATATTATGTAAAGCTAACTTCACAGAACTGGCAATAAAACAGTTCGGTGAATCCTTTCCTCTTACCAGTTTTCCTGCTTTGGGCTCTTGACCAGCTAAGAAACTCTGTGCTCTTCTCTTCTGCTCGATTTCACCTACAAAAAAACAAAACAAAACAAGCTGGGTGACATAGATCTCAATTCGTCCCGAGCATATTTAATACAAGAACGAGAGGGAAATTGGTAGATCTTGGGAGAATTCGACACTTTACATAAACCCCCGAAGCAGCACAGGGAAATTTGACAAAAAGACTCTCGAATTATCCCAAACTTTCTAAGGAACACTGGTCGAAAGGTGTCCCCGGTGCTGGTAGTTCAAGCTAGTCCGGAGCACCAGAAACAGTCGTTACTCTTTATAGTTGTTTCGACAAAGGTAGTCCCACACAAGCGTAAAAGCGAACGCGACAATGTCGATCAGTATTATGGCTAGTGATAGTTTGGTGTTCATTGATTGAGGTTCACAGTGTCTCAGGAAGGAAAAGCGCAAATTCACGTGTTGGTGCTGTTTCCTTCTGTCATGATGAAATGCCTTTAGCATCAATCAAGCAACCGTTGACCACCATTACCCATAATACCTTTCGACATTGTCGCATACGCTTTTACACTTTTGTAGGATAGCCTTTCTTGAAACAGCTGTATTTTGTAGCTACTTCTCTGGCACAATGCCACAGAAAATATAGAAATACTTGGTTAAGGGCATAACTAACAAAGAAAATTTATTATATCTGCTTAGAAAATTCCATGTTGCCGTGCGTCTGTTCAGTAACAGATTACAGATGACGTCAAAACGTGGTAAGATCAAAAACGTGGCACACGAGCTGATAAGCGAGTGCGTCACTGATGTCTTACATGATATAAAGAAACAAAAAACCTTGTTAATGACGTCATCTATGCGTCTGCCCTCAATAGATCACGAGTAAGAATAAATCTAAATTCACAATAATTTGACATATTGTATGACAAATAAATTGTTTATTAGCAATATACCTTTCCAAGATTGTGTTCTCCCTCGGTATGGAGTAAGCGCAGTAACGGGAGGAGCACCTTTCTTGTATTCTTCCAGTTCTGCCTCTAGTTTTTCAACTTGCTCGCGAAGCTCCTAAAAAAAAGAAACAAATTTTGCTTCACAACGCGAGAACAGCGTCAACCCCTCACACACGGCTACTTGTTTAAGCGCCTCCTACTTGAAATAACATTTCGCTACAACTTGGACTTACCACATTCTCCGTTACCAACCGGCCCACTTCTTTGTTGAAGTTTCCGTCCATTGATGACAATGATGAACCACGCCCCTGCAATAAAATGGTTGCTTGTTACATACTTTTGCCAAGCTATTAAACTCGGATCTTTTTATTAAATACAGAGGCTATCTCCTGCAATGAGGTCTTCATTATAACAACTGAAAATTACTTCGGGAAAGCGGGTTCCCTATTCAATGCACGTATTTTCGCGCAAAAGATTTACGACAGTTGTTGATTTGTTTGGTGTCGACTGTTACTCCACTATTTTCTCTAACGCCTTCGTTTTGCTCAGTTACCAGACGTGACCGTGACTTCCTTCTAGTTACCATTCAAAATCCAGTGGTATTCACTTTCAGCTAATCGCAAAAACGCTGTTGTGAAACGCCTAAGACGCGATTAAAGCGGTTTTCAATTGAGCTCCGAAAGTAATCAGGTAATTACTTTGGTTTTGGTTTTACTACAGTTTGAGAATGGCTGAGTAGTCCAATTGGTAAGAAATTGGTGTAATTTTGGTTTTACGACACTCAGTTGAAAACCGCTCTATGAGCAATAAAGTCTGCCGTGCTCAGTGCACTGCTTCCATGGACACCATAATGAAACTTACTCTTTGTAACTGGGACTTTTCTTTCCACAACTTTTCGTTGGCTAACTTCAAATCTTTCTCCTTCTGAATCAAGTCTTGAAGTTCATTTTGCAGCACGTTGTTTGCTTTCTTTAGACTCTCCGCCTGTAACACGTACGCGCTCTCGTCGGGGTTAGTTCTAAGCAACTCCTCGACATTATGCATGTCCTTAGCGACTGATGCCAATCGAATAAGTTCTTGTCTCAATCGGTTCCTGTCATTTTCCAACTGGTCGCGATCAGCAGAGATTTCGTTCATTTTCTCATTAATCATATCCCATTCAGCTTCTTTATCGATATTTCTCTGACTGACAAGTTTCCTAAGAAGCTCAAGCTCGGAATTTATCTTCTTGTTCTCCTGTTCGAGATTTCCTTTTACTTTCTCTAACTCCTCTTTTTCCATTACCACCTGTTGGTATTTTTCAGACTCAATTATTTGATATTCGCTCGGTGGTTTATGTTCCGCTGTAGTTTCTACAGTAATGCCCGGCACATCTCCCTTGGGTTGAACCTGTTCAGATTCTAATAATTTGTCCTCTAATTCGCGTATTTTTTTCTTCAGTCCTCGCACAAGCTTGCTCTTTTTGATTCCAGATTCCGCGTCCTCATTTTGCTGCTGCTCCAACTCAACAGCATCAACTAATGAAGCCTCTGCGAGAGAAAATGAAACTTGTGATCACCAAAGATGGACATAAAATTTTGTTCAGCGTTGTCCACAAATCTTATATAACTTTTTCTGGGAGTATTTCGTTGCAAGCCAAGACTTCACTTATACTTCTCCTCTAGGTAAAACATTTTCCAGTCAGTCAAAACCAGGTTTTAGGAACAAAAGTAAGCGCTTACATTTGACCGTATGTAGTTCTTAGTCAGCCAAGCTTATGTAGATAACGGTCAGCCTCGCACCAACTAGGAAATTTTTACAAGTTATAGCTAATCAAGCGGAATCTAATGTTATTGAAATATCATCTCCCCGAGCCAGTCAAATGACGCAAAGCAGTAATTTTTCTACAAACCTGAACTGCTTACGCTTATCAAGCCATCAAATTCTTTCCTAACCATTGGACTGAGTTTTTCAATCTCCAATTCATCTTGTAGATTTTGATAGCGCTGCTCTAGTCTATCATAGTCTCGTAATACTCTCTGGTGATTGGTCCGTTCAGATTCAAATTCTGCTAACATCTGTTGTCTTTGGGTTTCAAGACCTTGGTTGATGATCTCTGTAGAGAAACAGAAATAATCAAGTAAGCTTCAATTTTCCTTTCTGTCTCCCAATACGCAAGATTAATACCAGCAAAATTTTCGAAAATTTAAGGTGGCTCTGAATCCGGATCTATAGAATTTTTTTTAGACTTTGCCAAAAGCTGTATCTTATCATGCTTATCAAAATTCATGGTAACATATAGTGTCACGAACATGATACCAACGTGTTCACCAATCATTGGGCAGTTTTTTGACACCATGATGGTAGCATTAACTGATCAAGAGTGGTTATAATGAACCATTAAAATCTACGTCTTGGAAATTGCTAGAAAATGTTTTGAGCCACCTTAACTCGGTGTGATATGACACGCAAAAATTACATTAAGGTGGCCGGGTAAAGTATCAATTCGGTGGCTTCATTTAATTCCTTTGAGGAAAAGAATTAACAGTACTCGAAACCAAACTCGAACAACTGGTTAGAGCGAAGCTCAGCAAACAACCCTGAGATAACCACTCCGTGTAAGCTACATCGGTTTGCCTTTTGAGCAACCTTCCAAAGATAACTGGCAACTTAAAATAATGATGAAAGTTATTGATGTGTGAGCATGTACCGTCTCTGATAGAAACTTCTCTTTCAGTGATTGCTTTAGCTTCAGCAAGCTCTTCTGCCAGCTTTGCCATCTCTTCTTTCAATTTCTTGTTTATCTATGACAAGTGCATAATAAAATCAAAATTATTGGTAAGAACTGACGTTGCTGCAAAAGCATTTATGGATCAAGATAAATCAAGGTCATTTCTACATCGACATACAGAAAAAGTACGTTCTCAAGTTTAAGAGACATGTTCAGACTGAAACATTCAAATTTAACACAACTTGTAAATTCACAATATTTAGAGAGCAAGCCACATCAGCGTTAGCTGGTTGTCATGCAGGTACTCTATCCTGATCGAATTGGAATTTAGAAAGTTGGTTTTTGAGGAGGGAGGAAAACCGGAGAACCCGGAGAAAAACCCTCAAAGCAAGGCGAGAATCAACAACAGACTCAACCCACATATGACAGCGGGGCCGGAATCAAACTCGGGCTACATTGGAGGGGGGTGAGCGCTCTCACCAGTGCACCGACCCTGCTTCTTGTAACGGATGAAGACACACCTTTCTGTTGAAACATTTCTTGTAAACTGAAAAACGTACTTTTTATTGAAGTAATCGTTGGTCTGCTCTTAGCACGACCTTTATATCGTTTAAAAAAATTGCACAGATACGTTCCTAGAGAATAGCTTTTACGTTTAAGGTTGCTTATTTAGTTGCTGCTATTGTACCTTCCTGTCATTAAGCGCTACAAAAAAAAAAAAAACTCCAGAGCAGCGGCATACAGTAAGGTTAAGAGGAGTAGATTTTCCCTTTATTCCCGACAGTGGCCAACACGTATTTTCTCCTTACAATATCAACACACTTTCAAGAAGACAGGTTAGGATCTAATAAAGATATCATTAACTAGAGGAAGATGTCTTCATGTACCAATAAATTCTCATAACTAACATAAAAGAAACATAGGGAAATTAGTGATATGAACAGACAATTACCTCTTCCAGTTCTTCCTTTTCAGTCTTGGCCTGTTCTTTTGTTTCATCTTTCTCTATAATGGCCGCGTTAAGTTCTTCACGCAGTTCTTTGATCTCAAGTTCTAACTCAAGCATCTTGGCCTGTGTGGATTCAAACTGACCTTTCCACCGCTTCGCTTGATCCAGTTCTTTTCGGGTGGCTTCAAGTTCTCGCCCGGCAGCCATCGCTTGTTCTTTTTCTTTGACCTGCAACGAGAAGTAACGAGCAGTGTATTCTGTTCACAACACTGTTATTTCAAATTAACCACTACAAAAATCCCTAAGTTCGTAAAATCCGTTAAATCCAGAAAAGATACTCAACAATTTTAAACTGCCCCTGGACGCAAGAAGGACTGCACGTTCGAATTATTTGCCCGGTAAATTATACCAAACGAAAGCCCACGAGATAATTCGTGTAGACAGACATGCGGTTGAAATGCATTTTAAAAACCAACAATTAAGAAATACCTGTTCATCTAGACGTTGTTGTAACGTGATGATCTTGTTCTCCATGCCAATGTTCAATTTCTTGTAATGTTCCACTGACCGTGCTTCGATCTTAAAAACAGCAGAAATAAGAACAACTTACTATCCGAACGATGGATTAGTTTTAAATACACTTGCAAAACTTCTTTCAAGCCTGAATCCTCGTTCATATCTCTCAGTAGCGACCAGACAGTTCATCTGGTTAACATTGTCTTAAAGAAACTACATCACGGTTTGAACTGCATCTTGAAAAGTTAGGCCTAACTTTTTCAAGTTCGTTGTTTGTAATCCATGTTAATCTTTTCCATTCTTAACAATCCTTGTTTCTTTATGGCTTATTATTATCTCCTTGATCTTTTTCCATCTCCATAAAAGACTATTTTCAAGTCTCCGTCAATTTCAAAGTAATTTTGCAAGTGGCC